GGAAAGAAGGAGTAACAAAGTCACGCCACCGAAAGAAAATAATTACCCCGTGATCCTTCATGTCTGCTCATATTTTCTGGTACATTTTGTTATTTGTGCCTGACGAAATAAAGTCAAATAAAAATAAGAAAACAAAATAAAGTGCTTGAAAAGAAAAAGGTCGTTAGATCTTTCCCTTTACATCTTTTTACCTGTTTGAAACATTGGTCCTGATGTAGTGGGGCGCAAGGAGGGGAGAGCGGGTGACCCCTGTAATCATAATCCAGCCTTGACAAAGGTGATCGATTGGATGACGCCACGTTTCTCCCAGAATCAAATGTAAAGTTAATTGTGAAATAAGTGAACAGATAAAAAGTGTGCTCCAGTATCTTTAAGGGGTAAGGGAGTGGGAATAGGGTTGGTTTTAGACCTGCTAAAAATATTCATATTAGTAGCTTGGTGAGGATAATTATGGCTTGTTCATCTCTGATTTGTATCAAGCAGACATCTTCTAAGTTTTAAAATGAAAGGTTTTAATAGAAGTGAGGAAAGGTCTTGCTGCTGTTCTCCATTGATTCACCATCCTCCCTCCCAGACCCCATGTGCATTAGAGCTGAATGAAAGCTGACTGACCCCGGCTTTCCACAGGAGCCGTCAGCAGCACGTTACTACGCGCCGGTTCTATTTTCTACGCGCGACGCCTCTGAAACGGGTCAAGTTCGACATTTTTGGGGAAGGAAAGACAGGAAATCGGACGCGGAAATGGAGAGAAGCTCCCGAGATTTTCAGAATAAAGAACGTACTGCCTTCCGGTTGCTTTACTTTAAAAAAAGGTTACTAACTGTGCGTCCCCATGAGAAGTTATCACCTAGCTAGCGGTCTCCTTTGTTTTTCAGGTCCGTATTGGCGATTATAAAACGGACAGAACATAAAACACAAACCATGTTGTAGTTTTCTCCTGCTTGTTGTTGTGTTTACTGACGAAGTCACTCGTGTGACTTCGTGCTCTGTCGGTGACAGCTGCTCCCCTGCTGCTTCGCGTCTCGTGGGAAGGGCCAAGCAGCAGCTTACGCGAGCAAGACGTGCTGCTGACGGCTCCTGTGGAAACCCGGGGTGAGAAGGAACAATGACACAATTAAATTCTTAGAAAATCTGTCTCCGGAGTTTCCATCCTAAAAACTAAACTGTTGAGTGTTGCTTACCTCTTTGAGATTCACCTGCAGGAGAACATTACAGTCTTTGTGCCCACAACTTGACTCCACCACCAGAGCATGCAAGTTAATTAAAAAAGTTGGAGGGAACAATTTCATTATCACGATGGAGAGCTATAGCAACTTGATGGTGCGCTTGATATTCTGTGGGGCGCCATTATGGCTATAACAACACCGGCATGGGAGCTGGGATCACACCCAGAGCTTCCACTGTGTCCTTTTTCCACAGGTGCAAAGAGAAATATGGGAAGAATGTGCATTAAACTTTAAGGTTGGGGTCTGATTGTGTTTTTTATTAAGGCTGCTGTTTAGCCCCGGAGAAGAGAGCGGCTGGCTTTCATTTCAGCTCTGCTGCTGAATTACAGCAGGAGGTCTTCCTCAGCTTGCCCTTTCCACGGAATGAAACTGTCCCTGGAAATCCTTCTGGTCCCCGTTGGCCTTTTTCTCCCCCTCAAACCTCTCTTTCCATCACCATAGGGTACCCCTTTTTTTTTAATCGGTCACGTCTCTTTAATTATTAACCCTCTGGAGGCAGGCGTTGCAGATTTGCAACGTTAAGACCAACCTACCTGGTTACTCCACGTACATATTTCATGAGCATTTTTTAACTCAGAAGTACCCCTGAAGGACTTAGTTGTTCGTCCTTTTATCAAAACTTATTTTGAGCCTGAGAGGGTTAACTAGTAGATAAGCAGCTATCTCCTCTCCAGTTGGAAGTGAGTGGAGATAATATGGTTTGACAAGGCCGGGCTCTCCGTGGGACAAACATGGAGATGTTGCTGCTGAGATTTGCATCCATGGACTGCATTTGGCTTCTTGTTGCAGCCACCTCATTAGATGCTGTGGAAATCCTGAAACAAGGCACACACTGACACAAGTACCTTCATTCCCTGCGCTGTGGCAACAATCTGTGAATTTATTTGAAAGCCAAGCCTTATAGAAATGACTCATCTTCCTCATTCTCATGAGTCTGTCTTGTCTCGATGTTACGTAAGCAAGGCGAGGTGTGGGGAAATCAGGCTTTGGAAATAAGATTAAACTATTGGAGAATGGTTGGTTAAACCTGCAGTGAGGAACAGAAGCAATCCAACTGGTAATTCACTATAAAAATAGCTGAATTCTTCAATTTTGGCTTCCATCGAAGACTTTTTTGCCTTACTTTTCTCAATATGAAGCGATAATTGGCACTGAATCAACATGAATGACAGAATCTGTTTCTATAATTAAGATTAGCAGACATTGATGTTGTCTGACTAAAAAGGTTTGCAATGATGACGGGATTACTTAGTGCCAAAGACATCGAATAACCG